AAATTATGTGGAGATTTATTTATGTTACTCAACTGAGGTTTAGCTTTCATAGAAAGTATGTTATCAACCCCTAAATTTTGTTTCTTATTCTTTATGTGACCGAAATAATCAAATCTTGAAATTAGCACTTAGCACCATATGCACCGTATGCCCGAGGTAGCACACTGAAAATCGGCGACATTTACTCTGTAGTCTTTACTGCTGACTGAGGATGATATTCGTTTACCTAGTTCGCCAACACGTGGAACAATAATTAATAAACAATAAGACGAGTGTTCAACGTGTCCTGTATTTTTTACCGAGTAAAAAAATGAGAAGGTTCTATATTCGACGCGTATGTTTCTTTACGTATGTTCACCGATTCAGAAGATTGTGAACTGATTTAAATAATTATTTTTTTATTAAAAATATTTCTTATTATTCGTTGCTATACTTTTTACTGTTGTTACTTATGCAATAAATTGTGAAATTTTGTTCTTTCTTTCTTTTCCTTCCATATTTGGAAGGATTAGGATAATTCATATAGCCACACTTACGAAAGTTGGTGATCATCATCATCATCATCATTACAGCCCTTCACAAGTCCACTGCTAAACATAGGCCTCCCCCAAGGAATGCCACAAAGCATCCATCCACCTGCATCCATCGACTTCCTGCGTTTCTTACCAGGTCGTCATTCCATCAAGTGGGGGGTCGCCCTACACTACGCCTAACGGTACGAGGCTGCCACTCAAGAACTTTTTTTCCCATCGGTTGTATGGCCTCGAGCTATATGGCCGGCATATTGCCACTTCAGATTGGTGATTAGAAACTATTTTTTTTTTGTGGATTTTCTCCTAACTTCAATTTTCTATTACGTCACTAACAAGACGATATGATATGAATTCTATAACGCCGCAACCCTATGCTCGCAAAAATAGTTTTATACACAAATCGATTTTAGTTTTATATAACATTCATACCACTTGTTCCTTAGATAGTTCTGACACACCGATCATATCACTCATAAATAATCCAAGGCGTAAAGTGCCTATAGCATAATACAGAAATTTTGACAAAGCTACTGTCCGTCCCGTTATTACAGATATAGTTTTTTTAAATAAAGTAACCATTTATGTAATAAAATCTATAAATTCTCATAGTTTCGGTGATTGACTTCCATGACATACTAAACTTTTCTATTAGCTTGTTAAACAATATGCATTTATTTATAAAACGTTACCAATACACTAGACACCAATACACTTCTCCTGTATCGTGAGGGCAGTTTACAAACATAAATTGCACAAGGACGAATATCCAGACCTGGAACAATTATTTTTAGCCCATACAAATACTTGTTCCGTACGGAATTTGTACCCGCGGCTCTCGGCGTTGTGGTTTAATATTAACACATTCTTCAGCAGTGGATTTAATAGACTAATGAAGTTATTGAAATGAATAATAAGGTACGTGAGGGTACTATAGTCACCTTAGGCCTTGCCGCCCTAAAAACCAAAACTAGGACAGACACAAAAACACAAAGGAAAAAAGCTTTGGAAATAATTTTAGGAACACTTAGAAAAATCTACTTGAAAAACTAACTACACTACACTGTACTAAAATCGACTAAGGTATGTACTATAAAGTAAACTGTCAAAATGGCGTCTATAAAACTACGAAACGAAGAGCTATCATATCACAAAGCCATTTATGCAAATAATGATGTAGTTTTTGAATTACAAGAAAGTGATTATATTAACCGGATGACCATATTACCCTCATGTACTATAGAGATTGCCAAACGAGCACATAGTCCTCTTTAGGGTAAGGAATCTGCTAGGCTGCTGTGGCTCAGGGACATCTACATCCATCATTCATACATTAAAACCTTTCAAAAATCCACTACTGAGGATAGACCTCCTCCATAGAATGCTTCGTTGGGGGGGTTATTTGTTATACTTGGCGCAGTTTTATTTGAACAAGAGATCGACAGTAGCAGGAAGATGTTACTATCTATCTTTTTCGCCTATGGGGTAAAGGGTTCTATTACATCCATCATATTTTTATTCAAATTGCATTGTTATCTAACACGATTATAGGAATTGTCAGATCTTATAGCCTCTCATGGATAACTACATGACATTCCGGTTATTCTAGACGTAAATACTTAGACTGACCGTGATGAGCATCATTAAAGGTACGAATCCAATGGTACTACGATCAACAATCTATCTGGCAAGCATTATGATAATAACTTTTTTTTATGTGACTATAGCTTATTTCTTAAATCTTTGCAAAAGATTAAAAAAATTTAACTAACTCTTCACGAAAAAAGCCTTTCTACAAGGTTGGAAATCTACCTTTTTTTATAGGATAGGGTGACAACCGAGCCCACAGTCCACCTAATGTAATTAGTTGCTGTGGCCCATAGACTTCTACATCTATCCTCGACCTCGATTACGAATCAAAATGCAGATGCGTTATCACCCGTAAGGACTAAGATGGAATGCCTCGTTTCCAGTAAAAAGGGCCTTCGGTACTCTACACTCACTATACGAAACACAGCAGCATTTAGCTACTATTTTACGGTGCTATTCTATGAGAGCGTTGTCCTACCTCGGTTGAGCCGACCCATTCGTGTTACTACTAATGTAACTGTAGCATGGCTCTACCACGTATGTTCACCTGCAATTCCTCTGGTATTGCAGTTGAACTTCTGTAAAGACGACGATGATAACTTACCATCAGGTGAGCCCTTTGCTCGTTTGTTTTCTCTTATATTAAAACAAGCTGAAGATGCCCAAGTCCAGCCGTGGACTTTTATAGAATCATAAAGGAAATCTCATAATATATGAATGCAACAGTCACTTAGAGCGCACAAAGAGGATACCAGTGCGTTAAGAAAAAAACACAAATCCTTTCTTTAAAAAAACACTTATTACCATGAAATAGTTTGAATTGTGCTTGCCTAATGCAATAGGAAGGGTTCATTTGGTACAGCTCAGCGGGCGTCGGTGTCGGTAGGAAGCTATCTGGGAGGGCGTTTGTTAGCGACGATTAATTCGGTACGCCATTAAGGTGCATGACTTGCTACTGCCAGTTGGACTGCTAGTGATGAGCCTCTCGACCAGGTGCTTCCTATTTTATTCCAAAAGTTTTTCTAAAAAAAATAATAGAACCAGGCGTTGCTTTGTGGTAAGATGTTAATTTAAAATTACTAAGCGAATATGCAATAAAAAAACATAAATGTAAAATTAGTGCTGTATTCGGTACAACCGACGACGGTTGTTGTTGTCGGCTTGGCCGATAAAAGGGTTAGGTTAGCGCCTAAAGGTTGGTTAACGCATAACTTGATGGCAGTTCAAGAACGTTCTACATAAATATTATGATTTAAACAACTGCTATCGAGTTTGGCTCCCGAAATTCGGTGGTTTGAAATCTAAATTTCAACTCTTTTATCGATGAAGCCGACAAACTGAAAAGTCGTATGTATACAAAACTAGGCACACTTTTCAAATGTGTTCACCTCAATAGCTCACATTCAGTCACCGCACTACCACTTAGCACCATACTACCAAGTAATTTTTTTTTAAAGAATAGTAAGGATCACATTCCAGTGCTGAATATATTACAAAGTTTTGAATTCCAGCCAGAATCTAAATGTATTTTGATTTTGCCAATATTTCGTACTTGTGTTCGATACAGACATACCGTAAAACATGCCAACTTTACCCTAAAAATGAGAATATTCTTGCATTTTTTGAGTTATTTTGAAAACGCGTTATATGTTTCATACCATATTTGTACCACACAGTACTTTAAGTTCATGTCTCGATATTTATTTCTTAAAATATCCAGAAAGTTGTATGTATATTTGTAAAAAACACATTCATATGTGGTGGGCAAAAATTCATAGATTTTTGGCAACTTTGCCAACTTTAAATATTTCCGATATTATAAACCGTATCAAAAATCTTAAAATAGCTAAACATAAATGTAGAGCAATGCAGTATTATATTAAAATATCAGTTTAATAGTCATATTCATTGTCCTTTAAAATTGAGTGGGCAAAGTCAAAAACCCACATAGAACATTTTTCTTACAATAAATATCAACGTCTAAGGGCTGTCACCATTAAAAAAATGCTTCATTCCAATAATAAATGAAAACTTTTTATATATAAAATATTTATTGACATAATAAATTCAAAAAGTGCAATCATAATGGATACAAAATAAAGAACAACGGTGTACCAATAAAGAATAAAAGGAATAAAAGTACAACATATAATAGAATAAACTAAAAATACCTAAACTTATATTATTGAGCACAAGTTCATTGGGTATTTTTAGATTTCGATTTAAAATCGAAATCAAGGAACACTTAAACATAAGTGTAGTGTGTACCCAATAATTTTACTTGCGACTATAATCAAACTAGCTTATATTATAGGTCCAGCTTAAAGATAATAATCTTCAATGTAACATAATATCAAAAACACCTAAGGGATTTTTTAAAAGATGATTACATAAACAAATCAAATATGTCATCTATAATTAGTATTTTAATTACGTAAATATAATAGCAGCTATTCTTAATGTTTTAATTATTATACAAAATATTCTCAGTCTTATAGGAACAATTGTTACAATTGAGATCAAGTAAAACTTAAGCATAGATAAACAAAGAGTTTCTTATTTTACTTCAGACTGAATTTGCATTATATTATAATAATAACATAACAATTTAACAGGTAAGTTTTGCACTTAACAAAATAACTTTAGTTTACAACATCTATTCATCTATTCTTCTATACTATACTAAAACTCTAACACAACATCTGTTTGGACACACATCACGCAAAAACCAGTGATCCGATTTAGATAAGACTTTCACTGGCGGATAACTGATGTTATAAGGAGCAACTTAGGCTACTTTTATTTTAGGGTTTCGCGGAAAATAATCCACGCAGGCGAAGTTGCGGGGAACAGCTAGTAACTTAATATTTTATAATAAGTTTATTGTATATTATAACTAGAAAAATCATCTTCGAACATAACTTGGCCCCTTCTAGTAATTATTGGTTGCGGTAAGACGAGAACATCGTCATCTACGTGAAGCATTTCATAAATATCTTTGACATGTGGATACGTAAAGGTTAATCTTTTGCTATTTGCAGTATTTTTAACTTTCCTTAGAAATTCTATTGTAGGGATATTATTTCTAATAAATAAAATCCGTCCAACAAAGTGATTGACGCTTTTTTTCGTAGCAAATTTAGCTATGAGCCAGTCACCTTCGTTTAAATTATCAATATTGCCTGTGAAATACTCAATATCACTGATCCCAAACGGGATCGGGTCCGGCTCCAAGTTTTCTTTTTCCGACTGATCTTGTAAACAGATTTTTATGTAGTCATTTAATGTTTCATATTCCGAATCATCTGATTCTGCTATACTCAATTGAAAGTCGGAAATTTCAGAGCTTGATTCACTATTTTTTTTTTAAATTTCTTCTTATTCACAGATGTTGTTTTCCTTGATTTTGTTTTGATTTTATTAATTTTACTCCTTTTTTCACGCTTTACGCATGTGGTTCTAGTCATACTTTTTCGTTTTCGTGTTGTATTTTCTTCTTTTTGCATATTTATGTATTCATTATTTTTGTCCGTTACGCTTGAATCATTGGTTATTTTATTTATTTTATCCCTTGTAAATAATTTAATTTTCAGTGCTGATTGCGTAATAACTTTAGCACCAGCATCTATTTGGATCCTTAAGTTTTTCTGTGTTTTTCTTTCCTTACAGTCTAATTTTACATTGGAAGTTATTGTAACATTTGTTTGATTTGTTGATTGCAAACATGGTGGCAAATCATTATCATTTATCACTATAAATGGCAAGTTCTCTTTGTCACCTTTTCGATATTTGCTTAATAAATGCACATCATTTGGTGTAATTTATTAAGGAAATCATATTATTATTTATAACTGTTATACAGATTTTACTGAGACTATCTGGATTATAAAGCACATGGGATATATTTGACCATAGGAACATTTGTAAATTATTTCTATAAACATTTTCATTTGACGTCGAAGGCATTTCGTTAGATTTATTGGACGGAAAAACTATACCTTCATGTTCTATCTTCTGGGTAGTTTCAATATGTTCAGGTGTGTTTTTTAAAAAAAATCCTATTTTGTCATCCAATACGAGCTCATTTTCTTCTATGTCTCTTTCAGTAGTCACTTCTTCTAATATATTTATCTCACAATCTTGCCTGCTGCTTTCTATATCATTAAAATTATCCTGATAGTTTTCAAATCTTTTGGATTTCTTATTTTGAACACTTTTGTTACTAGTTGTTTTTATTAAAATATCGGCGGCACAAACTGAATTGCCTGGTTCTGTACGTAATTTCTTACTCCTTTTCACTGCCATTGGTTTAGAACACCTTGTTTTTTGTAGGTAATCTAATAAAGCTGAATCTATTCTGTACACTTCTTCGTCAAAATACTCAGGTATTCGTTTCAAAACATTTCGGGCATTAACTGGCCATATTCCCGCGGCTCTAAATCCACTTTTAATATTATTACTTTCTCTGAGATTAATATTTTTTAATAATTCGTTCAAGAGTTTAGGAAAGTGCTTTTTATTAATAGTTGACTGTTCCGGATTTTGAATTTTGTAATTTGTGAGTACCTTCCTCCATTCTCTTTTTAAAGGGGCAAAAAAACGCTACATCTAGAGGTTGGGTCAGATGTGTGGAGTTAGGTGGAAGAAACACAAACCTAATATCATATTTTTGGCATAGCTCCACAACTTCGATATTTAGGTGACTAGACAAATTGTCACCTATTATGACTTTTGGTCCTGATAGATTCTTTGCCCACTTTAGTATATTTGTTCTAAAATAATCCTCAAAACAGGCATAGTCAAACCAACCCGATTTCGTGCAATTATAACGAGTTCCATCAGGATCTCCGTCAACCCATTCGGAATATAGATTTGTAGCTTTATATACTACATATGTTGGAAGACAGTCACCAGCTGCAGACACCGTAAACATAATCGAAACACAACTCTCTCTTAGAACTGTTTAAAATTCTTTCGGGATATTTTATGCCCCTTCTAAAAATGCATTTTAAATTACTCGGGTTATCAGACAAATTAGTCTCATCATAGTTAAGGATGTTACTAGGTGGAATATCCTTCAGCGTCGCTTGTAAATTATCGAAGAAATTTTGCATTTCTAGCAGACCTTTCTCGGCCCGGACCTTTTTTATATTTTGTGTAGTTCGAACTGATAATTTTGATGAATGTCTATTTAAAAAAAATTCTACCCAAGTGTTTCCGGGCATTTTTCCATTAAAAATATGACTGCGTGAATTTTTTTCTAAATAATTAAAAACAAGCATTTTCAGGTCTAACTTGGTCATTGGAGAACCATAGTCACTGACAGCTACCAGAACATTTACAAGATTTTCTTCTTCGATTTCTGTTAGATGTTTTTGTCCCCCAACCGTTTTCATGTGCACTTCTTTTGCCTTATTTATTATGGTCCTCCGTGGTATCCCGAATTGTTTTTCGGCTTGTCTACTAGAAATAACATTTTTTTTTTACTAGATCTACTGCTATATCCAACATTTCCTTAGAGTAGTTTTTGTAATTTCTGGATCTTAGTTTCCTTCTATTTCTTTTCCTTTTTGTACATGTATTTGAATTATTATTACTGTTCATCCTATAAAAACAAAAACAATATATCTGAGAAACTATAAAAACAAATAATAAAAAGGTTACAAAATGCGGAATTACGCAGAAGCGTAGAATACTATATGTAGAAAATACGATCGACGAGATTTTTCATTTGTGCTACTAACAAAAATTACAGCAAATGAAAAAGTTACAGATGACAGCCCTACGGGTAATAAATTGGTGGGCAATGTTGTCAACAATGCTCAAAAAAGAAGTGTGTGACTTTACCCACCAACATATTAGGTGAATTTATGAAATTTTTTGCGTAAATAGTAGTCTATACTATCCATTTTAAATACATTTACGGTTGTAAAAAAATTACTTACCTGCTGTTATTGCAACTATCACTTTTCGGTAAAGTTTTTATGCTGGTTTTTGCCCACCAAAAAACACTACCAACTTATACAAGTTCTAACAGGCAACTGAAGTTACATAGATGACATAACATCACTTAGTGTTGCTAGAAAAATAATGAATTTTATACTACAGACAAAAAAAAATACTCCTAAGTTATGTCAAATTCGCTGTGTATCAAGTTTACCAAAAAATACCCAACTGGGCAAAGTCAAATCCCAAGGGCAAAGTTGCCAGGTTTTACGGTAATGTAATATTTTTGTAAAAAAATTGTGGTTAAATGAGTATTTCATACTTTTCACACTTATGCATACTTTGTTCCACTTTTTCTTCTATATTAGCCCCTAAAGACCCAATGATGGACATTTTAAAAAAATAAGGATGACAAACGAGCACACAGTCCATCTGATGGTATTTGGATGCTATAGCTCATAGAAATATTACACACCATAGACAATACAGCAGCATTAAGCTTTCTGTGGGAGCGTGGTCCTTCCCCGGTCGAGCCGACGGATTCATGATTCAAGCATAATAACTGCAACATGGCTATCATGTTTGAAACACTGTCACCGCGTGGTCATAATATCAATATAAATACCTCAAACAAATAATGTACCTCATATCAAGGTACATCACTATAATGTTATTCAAAAAGCTGAGCGAGGCCGTCTCCGAGAATTTACTCATTTAACGCCTCTATCCCAATTTAATTCGACGATTACGTGCTTAAAGAAACTAATGCAATTACAACCAAATTATACAAATTTAAATTTTAATACAAGGTAATAGAGTGTATGGAGATTGTAACAGAGCTCAAAGCGGCTTACCTATCGGTCAGTAGCCTCTGTGAGTCGCTGTTTTTGACGCTGGCTAATTGATGGTAATAATTTAATTTTTACGAGGACGCTTCTTGAGAAACAACATGGCGGATCCGTTGACACACGCCAATCAGCGCAGTGACGTTATGTACAAAGAATTTAATATAATGCAACAACAAGAATATAGAAAAATACACGTAATGTTGCTGTGTTTCGTATGAAGACCGGCGTCAACCGGAAACCAATTTTAGCCGTAACGAGATATTCCATGCTAGTCCTCAGTGGTGACCATACACCTGCAACGTTCTTTGTTTGGAGTTTGTTTCAGATGTTCATATGTTGTAGTAGCCACTTACCACCGGATTTACTGCAAGTTCATATGTCACTTCAATTTAAAAAAAACATGTCATCCTAATATTACGAACCGTGAGGCCGTGATAGCTCAGGGGCTAAGCGTTCGCTGTAAATTTCACAGTACGCGACCAACCCGGGTTCGATCCCCGCCGGCACCAATGAAATTGTTAATTACAATTTTAAGTGCTGATTTACTGCCTACTAGGTCGTAAAGGAAAACATCATGAGGAAACCTACATGTCTGCGAAATAAAAAAAATATGCAGTGGTGGTGTATATCCACTGCATATAAAAAAATATTTTATAATCTTAATCCTAAAATTTGAATTTAGAAAAGCCAACACCACCAGTCTCAGCAAAATCCAATTAACCACTTAAGTAAGAACTGCCGTTGCCAACCCGCCCGCTAAGCGTGGCAACTATGGCAAATAGAACCCCCTTAAGAGACATTCTATGGGAAGACCTATGTTCTGCAGAGGACTTTGACAGACTGCCATCAATGAATGAGTAATGAGTGCATGTAACTAAATAAATCCCAGACATTTGCTGCTTCTCACTCGAGGTATACAATGCTAATGGCCATACCTATTAACGCAAGTCGGAAATCAGTACGTATCATGGTGTAACCTAAATCAACACAACACCAAGCAGCGTAGACTCGTGAGCGAAAACTCGTGAGTTTGAGTTAGTTTCTAATTAGTTCCAGTTGCCACTATTGAAGTGTAACAATTATGAAAGTTCGTGATTTTGCAAAGTTTTCCCTTACGAATGATTGATAAATAGCTCTACATATTATAGTCTTTACAAGAATAGGCAATACACCAACGCAGTTGATTTCTCTTTTTAATGAACACTCTTTTACTAACTTGATCTGCTATGTATGATTGTAAGGTTACTGGTTTTATGCTGTATTCACCTACTTGCGGGCGTCTGAACTGAATAAACTAAAATTTGCAGAGTTATTAAGTTTTACTGATAGTAATTGCAAGCAATGGATTGTAATTACACTGTTTCTCTATGTCCTTCAAACTGTAATAAAACAATACATACTTTTATTAGCCTTATTAGCATTGCTTTTATTATCTTGACCTATATATATATTGTTGCGCGCCACAATTAATGCCTGGTACATGGCGACACTAGTTACCACTAGCGCCTTCTAGTATCAAGCAGCAGAACTAGAAGAGTCTAGAGCCTTCTAGAAATTTCCATGGAAGAACTTTCTAGAACTATCGACACCTAGTCAGTTAGGACCGGTATTTACTCGAACATTCTAGATGTTTCTACGGTAGAAGTTTCTGGAACTATCTGAATCATTATGTAAGGCTGGTGTAGACCGCGACCCGGGTCAGTATTGAATTGGCGATTCAAGCGAATACTTCAAAGCGAACTAAAAAAAACTGCGAACTAAAATGATCCGTATTACAATTGTGTTTTATTATCATTGTGTTTTAAGATGTAATTGGTATTCTGTAATTAAAGTGTTAATTTTGGCAGTTTTTACTGTCACGAATCCTAAGCTCGTAACTTTATGTATATATACATGAATGTAATTAATTTTAATGCTGTTTTCAACCACTTTTAGGCACTGGAACTGAATAAGCTAAAATTTGCAGAGCTATTAAGTTGTACTGATTGTAATTACAAGCAATAGATTTTAATTACAGTGCATCTCGCATAACCTACGATGACAGCATTAAACAAAAAAGAAGAAAAACTGTCGTTGCATTAAAGAAATTTAAAACTGCATTTACTAGTAAACAATACTCAAGCCTCTCCATTTTACTATATAACAAATTAAACATAGAACTAGAGATCTACAGCATAACAAAAAATGAATGTAAGAAATTGATTTCAAATTTTTAACTGCCTTAAATTATGAGTAAACAGGGACGTTATTACCATACAGATACTTATTGAACACATACACATACATACTCAGAACATACTCACACACTACTCATATAAAATGCTCAAATTTATATACCACACCACATACTACAACTACTAAATACACATTCACTCTATGGATGTAAAATACTAACCTAATATATTATATTATTGATGTTTTAATGCTTTGAGACTGATGGGAGGATACTAAAGTGATGTTTTTATTATTTTTGTTATTTACTTTAGGATATTTTATTTCGTAAATAATATT